CTCACATCAGACTGGTAGCAATTGGAGTGATAAAGAGTGAACTGGGAATATGTTGAGGGAAGAGTTAACAGGATTTCCTGATGGACTGGATGTGGGTTGTGAGAAACAAAGACAAGTCAAGGATGACTTTAAGAATTTGGCCTTGATCAATTAGAAGAATGGAGCTGTTATCAATTGTAATGAGAGAAGCTGCAGGTAGAGAAATCTTTTCAGAGGGTTGGGAAAAGCCAGAAGTTTGGTTTTGGACACATTAGATTTGAGATGCTTATTAAAGATCCATGGGGAGATGTTTATTAGGTGGTTGGATACATGGACTTGTATCTTAGGAGAGGTGTCTGAACTTGGAATACAAATTAGAGTGTCTTCAGCATGTGTATAGTATTTAAAATCACAATACTGCATCAGATCACTACGAGAATGTCTAAGATGGGCTAAGATATGTTATCCCAGGAATTTGTAACTGGGACACAGGAGACGTTGGACCATTGGTTGTTTGAACTGAGAATATGAAATAGCAGTGTTGTGGGGTGGCCATTTTCCACATGCAAGACAAAGCATATTGGACTGGTCTGCAGAGAGAAAGGCATAGTGGAGACACCATGTGGTCCTTGGGGAAAGGGCCAAGTAGTTTCTTTGGTATCTGATAGTTTCGTGGGCACTGTTTCCAGGCCTTCGATAGGTGCCACTAGTTTGAGTGGGTATTTTTCACTTGTGGTCTAAAGAGTCTTAAGAAAGACAGTTAGTGACAGAGTGTTAAAAATGCCTTGGCAAGAGGAAAGGACTGTATGCCTCCCAGATCCTGCACAAATTGTTGAATGTCATAGTTACACATAAATAGATTTCTTTGTGGATGGAGGCACTTGACATTTTTACTTTCAGTTCTCTTCTCTCTTACTGAAAGTCTTTAATTACCACTCCGTGTAGCCATGTAAAATAAAACAGAGTCTATCTAGTTGGTAGACTATTAGAATTACTGGTTTCTCGAGTCTTCTATGCCATGGAAATCAGGTAACATTATGGAAAATATTGGCTATGATCAGATATTTCCATGATCTAAGACCAAACTCAAAATATTAAATTCTGAATTTTATATGCTAGATGGAATAAGCCTTCATGTAAGGTATAGCTAGATGCAAGGTTTGGAGACCTGTAATTTAACAAAGCTTGCTGGGAAAGTAAACAAGAAAGGAAAACTCTCACTATTCACTGTTGTGAATCATTTTCTGTTCATATTTAATCAGAATTTCATATTAGTTCCAATAGGGTTTTTATTTTTTTGTGGATTTCTTAAAATATACAACATCTCTCATTTGCAGATGAAAATCATTTTACTTTTTTCTTTACAAATGCAAATCCTGTTTCCCTTCCTTGCTTGATTGCTNGGCAGCTCCATTTCTAAAAATTTATTGCAAGGGCCTGTGGAAACCTATGTATATATGGTTTATTCACAAAGACTTTCTTTGCATTATATTTATAATAGTAAAAATAAGTAGAAAATCCTAATTATACCGAATGGAAGAAAGTTATATAAGTTATGGCATCTTATTATGCTATAATATTAGTTATGAAAATGTTTATGAAGAGCCGATAACAATAGTGTGGAAAACACTCATGAGAATAAGTGAAAACTCATCAATGTAAAATAAATGCACAGAGAAAAGGACCATAAGAATTTGTGTAAAGTATTCCCAATGGTTTCTTTTCAGAAGAAATTAAAAATTATTTTTCATATTTTAAACTTACACTGTAGTCAGCAC